TCCCGTGGGGAGCCTGGATGGGTCCCGCTGGCCTTCTCCTCCCTGCTCCTCTCCCCTCCCTGCGACCCTTTCCCCGGGGAGCAGAGGGGAGCGGGTGGGCCGGGATGGAACCCCTGAGCCCAGCTGGGGTGCAGGCAGTGCCCCTCCGGGGTAATCCCGTCCCAAAACTCCCCGGTGGACACTTCAGCCGGTCCCAAAAGGACCCCATGACCCAGGGTTGGGGTGTTCAAGCTGCCTGCTCCTGTTTCTGCAGCAAGACCTGCCCTGCTGCTGCCCTGGGACACCGGGGCTCAAACGGGACACCGGCCTTTCCCGTTGTTGCCACTTCTTGGACAACTCACTGGGAAGCTGAGGAGAGGGTTTAACTCCTGCTTGGCCAATTACCTGCTTTCTGAAGGCAGACACCCCATCGCTGCAGGAGAGCCCACAGCACCCACGAGCTCAGTGGGGAGGTGGGCTGGTGCCAGGCTCTGTCCCCAGGTCTGCCCGGGGGGCTCAGCACTGGCCTGTGGCAGGGACTGGCTGCAGATCACAGAGCTGGCAGGAGGGCTGTGGGGGTCCCAGCCCCAGATGGTGACCCAGTCCTGAGCCCCGAGGTGAGCATGGGGCCTGGGGGTCCCACTTGTGCTCCACCACCACCATCTCAGCACCATCGCCACCAGTACCACCATCACCTCTGCTACCACCACGACCAGTACCACCCTCATTGTCACCAGCACTGTCATAGCCACCAGCACCACCACTGCCAACACCATCACCATCACTGCTAGCTCAACCACCATGACCATCATCATCACCACCACTACCACATCACCATCATGCCACTGCTACCACTGTCACCACCCTCCCCACCTTCACCACCACACTGCTGTTCCTGCACCATGTTCCCCTGGCACGTGTAGTTTGTCAGCACAACACTGTCATAATTGCTATGGTGGTGGCTGTTACCACCAATGAGCATTTCCAGCAGCCCCAGTTAACACCAGGAAGCCTGTTGCTCAGGTGTGGACAATTCCTGCCTCAAAGGTGTGGAGCAATTTGTTGCAGGGTGAATTTCTCATCCCTCTGGGACAAAACTGTGAGGTTGTTCACCACGTTTGGGGTTATGACAGGAGCAGGACTGGTGATGCTTCATCCCACCCCTGACACCGTGGTCTGTGCCAGCCAAGCCCGGTGCCTGTTGGGGCTTTGCCAGCCTTGCCCAGAGCTTCTCCCCAAGCCCTGTGCCCAGCCCGGATCTCTGTGGGCCCCAGGGCCTGGGCAGGGGGTGGCATGAGCATCCCAGCTGCCAGGGATGGGGCCAATCAGCTGCTCCCATGGGATTTATTATAGCATCATAGAATGGTTTGGGTTGGATGAGACCTTAAAGAACACCTAGATCCAACCCCCTGCATGGGCAGGGACACCTCCCACCAGCCCAGGTTGCTCCAAGCCCCATCCAACCTGCCCTTCAACACTGCCAGGGATGGGGCAGCCACAGCTTCCCTGGGCAACCTGGGCCAGGCTCTCACCACAGCAAAGAATTTCCTCCTGAAGTCTAACATAAATCCCCTGTCTTTCAGTTTCCATTACCCCTTGTCCTCTTGCTACTAGCCCTTGTCTGTGGAGGTGCTGACACAGCAATGGGTGAGGCCCAGGGACACCTGTGGACCAGGGCAAGTACCATCAGCATTGCCAGCTGAGACCCAGGTAGGATATTTGGATATTCTTCCCTCTGTGCCACTTGTGCTGCTCCCAGGTCCTGCTGGCAGCCCTGCCTGCCCACAGCGGTGGCTCCCACTGCCCCCTGTGCCACAAGACTGCCTG